AAGAGCGGGAACACAAGCAGGGGTTGTGGGGAGAGGAAGAAGCAGGCCTCCCGCAGAGCAGGGAGCCCAAGGTGGGCCTCAATCCCAGGACCTGGGATCATGACCTGAGCCAAAGGCAGACGCTTAATGACTGAGCCACCCAGGCGCCCTCCCCTCGGACTACTTTTAATGAAAGTAGCATTTTAAATTTACCATTCTATTATCACAATGGTCACTTATGATAAATTCCTTTGTAAAAATGAACTTAATTTTAGCCTCAAAGGGTTCCTAAGAAACAATTTAAGCAACCAACTCAATAGGTCTTAGGTCCCTTCTTGAAACATATTAGTTTGCAATTCCATTTTCAGTTTAAAGTATAAAGTTAGTCAAGCACAGATATATGAAGCTATTAATCTTTTAATTTCGTTGTTACTCTCTGACAACTAAAAGACTGAAAATGTTTATACAAATACCTCTTGAAATCCAGCTTGATGCCTTTACTGCTTTTTATAACTGCAGTCAGCCATTCCTGTAAAGTATTATCACTATTTGTTTCAGGAGGATGGGCCATGATTGGTTGGCTATATTCTGATCCATCACTTGGAAGAAGGACATCGGCCTCTATCATGTGAGCAGTGCCTGTCCAAATAAAAGAACTTAAGTTAACGCTAATAAAATAGGGACTGAAGAAGATGTCATGTCCAGTAGCCTTTTGAGGAAGATAAAAACTAACATTTACTGAATAACTACTAAGTACCAGGTACCGTACTAGGCCTTCATATGGTTGTTTGTTTCACAGATGAGCAAACAGGTGAAGAGTTAAATGCCTTTCTGTAGATCATACAGCTCTTAAGCTATTGTTAAAATATTTAATTTCTGGGCAGAGGAATAGGGGACCCTATTCCAACCGGTCCCGGAATTGAGCTGGATATCTATGAGACCACTCTGAACACCCATGAAATCAGCCTGAGATGTAAGAAGATAGATCTGGATCTCTACAAACAGAATATCGCAGGCAGTTGGTTTCAAGGTATGAAGTGGGGAGCCATGATTCCACGGGTAGATATCGGAGGATAAATGGGAGGGGGAGGGAGCCAAGGCTTCAGGATCCTGCACCACCAGTGAGTGATAGCCTCCCGCGCTGGGGACCGGGCATAGACTCGCAGACTGGTAGCAATGGGGAAAAGACTTTAGGGCAGCCCCCCGGACTGAAACCAAGAGCGGCGGGCTGCATGTATGAACTGGAGGTGGCTGGCAGTTTTAGAAGCACAAAGGGGAGAGACGTGTCCCAACCTGGAGGCGAGGACTGGGAGTGCTGCTGAGGGGCGAACAACCCAGGACGCTGCAGTTTATAGCAGCACAGACAGGAACGGAGATAGTGTGGCCTGGAGAGCTCACTGAAGAACAGACTGTGATCTCTCCGCTCTGAGGCAGAGGGTTGGAAACGATCTCTTCTGCTCTGACTCTCAGAAGAGATGCAGAAAGCCTCCAGGGAAAGCCGCCAGAGAACAAAAGCCCCCAAAAACCAGTTTTCACTGAGCCTATCCCCCGCCACAGGGGGCAGGGCAACTCTGACCAAACAGGTTTGCCTGAGTAACAGCATGGCAGGCCCGTCCCCCAGAAGACAGGCTGGAAGAACAAGAGGCCAGCAACCCTAAGGTCCCTATAAAACAGGTGCATCTTCCTTGGGTTGTGGTCAATAATTTGGACTCTGTACATTCCCTCAACCACCCCTCAACAAAATGACTAGGAGGAGGAACCCCCAAAATAGGAAAGACTCAGAGACTGTGACTACTTCTGCCACAGATTTACAAATGGATACAGATATAACCAAGATGTCGGAGATGGAATTCAGGGTAGCAATTGTGAAGATAATAGCTAGAATGGAGAAATCCATTAATGGCAACATAGAGTCTCAGGGCAGAAATGAAAGATGAATTGGCAGAACTTAAAAATGCTATTAATGAGATTCAATCTAATCTAGATTCTAACAGCTAGGGTAAGCAAGGCAGAAGAATGAATTAGTGATCTAGAAGACCAATTAATAGACAAGAAGGTAAAAGAGGAAACCAGGGAAAAACAACTCAAAATCCATGAAAATAGAATCAGAGAAATAAGTGACACCATGAAACGTTCCAATGTCAGAATTATTGGAATCCCTGAGGGGGAGAGAGAGAGAAAGGACTAGAATATATATTTGAGCAAATCGTAGATGAGAACTTCCCTAATCTGGGGAATGAAACAAACATTCATGTCCTAGAGGCAGAGAGGACCCCTCCCAAGATCAAGGAAAACAGGCCAATGCTCCGGTATATAATAGTAAAACTCGCAAATCTTAGAACCAAGGAAACCATCTTAAGGGCAGTTATGGGGAAGAGATTCCTTACATACAGAGGGAGGAACATCAGAATAATGTCAGACCTATCCACAGAGACCTGGCAAGCCAGAAAGGGCTGGCAAGGAATATTCAGGGTACTAAATGAGAAGACCATGCAGCCAAGAATACTTTGTCCGGCAAGGCTGTCATTTAGAACAGATGGAGAGATGCAGAGCTTCAAAGACTGGCAGAAACTGAAAGAATATGGGATCACTAAGCCGGCCCTGCAAGAAATATAAAGGGGGGTTCTATAAAAGAAGAAAGACCCCAAGAGTGATATAGAACAGAAATTTACAGAGACAATCTATAAAAACAGGGTCTTCACAGGCAACATGATGACAATAAATTCATATCTTTTAATAATCACTCTCAACGTGAACAGCCTAAATGGTCCCATAAAACAGCACAGGGTTGCAGAATGGATAAAAAGACAGGACCCATCCATATACTGTCTACAGGAGACTCATTTTGAACCTAAAGATACATCTAGACTGAAAATGAAGGGATGGAGTTCCATCTTCCAGGCCAAAGGACCTCAAAAGAAAGCTGGGCTAGCAATTCTTATATCAGACAAATTAGATTTTAAGCTAAAGACTGTA